AGGTACCCCACGCTTCCAATTTAGGCTCTGTATTCTTCAATATCTTCATAAACTATTCAGATGAGGGAATAGAGGTCAAACTCATCAAATTGGCAGATGACACTAAACTGGCAGGAATAGATAACATCCCAGAAGACAGCTCAAGATCCAGGTGGATCTCGACTGACTTGAACATCGGGCCTTATCTAACAAAATGAAATTCAATATAGAAAAAAGTAGGCAAGAAAAAAAATGTACAGGTATAGATTAGGTGAAACCTGGCTCTATAGTAGTAACTATGCGAGATATCTTGGAGTCCTACTGGATAATCACTTAAATATGATCCAGCAGTATGCAGCAGTAGCCAAAAACCCAATGCAATTCTAGGTAGGCTGCATTAATAGAAGGATAGAATCAAAATCAAATGAAGTACTAGTACTACTTTATAAAGCCTTAGTAAGATCACACTTAGAAAATTGCATCTATTAAAAGTTGAAATTTATTTGGAAGATGCTTGGATTACAGTTTGATTCCTGTTCAATAATTGACAGATTGAGATAATGTTAATTAAAAACCTGCAGGCAATTTTTTTTTCCTTTTCCCCCTCTTTTGAATAATTGGATAAAGGACAGAAATTTAATTATTTTTCCCCAAAATTTCATGCATTTCAAGAATATGGGCTATTTATCTTCTTTTTTTTTTAATGTGGACATGGAGGGTTAGCACTTCTAAAGCTTATTTGTTCTATTGAAAAATGTTTTGAAATTGTTTAAATTTACAGTTTAGTTCTACAGACACCTGAAGAATTGTTTTCTGTATTTTGTTTTACTGTGGGTTTTTGTTTTCATTTCAATTCAAAAGTGTGTAGTTTTAAACTTTGCTGTAATTCGTTTTTATAAATTGGAAAAAATGATAAATAAATAAAAGTTTTAAAAATTGAATGAGTCAAGAGTGTAATATCACTTCAGAAAAGGCTGATGCAAGTTTATGTTATATCAAGCATAACTAAAGAGAACTAAACTAAACATAAACAAAACTAAAATTTGCAAAGTATAGATTGAACAACTACACTTCCTGCATTGCTGACTTCAAAGTCCACCATCACTTAAGACTAGGAGTAAAAGTTGCCAATGCAGTAAAACTGGGAATAGTCATTTCTCATTTGGACAACTTACGCTTGATAGATTTTGTTTTTATCTTAATTAACACTACTCTACTTGTTTAAAACAAAATAGAAAAAACACTGCATAAATAAAAGTAGAAATTGCCATTCTTTATGATTGGAAGTCACCTGATAGCAAATTTCATTAAAATTAGTGGGTCTTACTTCTAGCACATATGTGTAGAGAAAATTGAACTTCTGGCTTATCCTTCAGCTCTGAAAGACCATCTCTAACTTGCTTTACGTAATTAATTGTTAGTGAACTGGTCTGTACATTTTAAGATATTTCATTTTGTTGAAAGAAAATGTCCCCCTCCCCCCAACCAATAGCTGGCAGTTGCTATATATGGTCATGTTGCATCAAACAAAGGGCTACAGTAATAGTGCCATACTATTACAGATTTTATAAAAGAGGGAGCTGAGATACTCATGCTTCAGAAACTCTCAGAACACCTGAGTAGACAGGTTGTCTTAAAAAAAAAAGGCCAGGTAATCATGTCTCTGCTCCTACAATCTTGAAAGACCAAACAACATGTCAAGGCACAGAAGAGTATCGTGCAAAAATCCAGAACGTAAAGTACCTCCAAGCAGGAGGAATAAAAAATGCCGGATCATTTATGATTCGCCTTTAAAAAAGAAGAATGGTAAACTTCTCGTTTGTACTGTTCTACTTGTGTGGATATAAGGCTCTTGGGAAATATAGAGATATTGGGGGGATCTTAACTATTTTGAAAGAATGTTTTAACAGTCAAAGTTGCATTTTGTTTTGGATAGGATACATCCGTGTTTGTGCTACGTACTATTACTGGAAAGGGGAGAAAAAATAATTTCTAGTGCAGAATGATTCCATCATTCACATCAATTAATCACCGCCACGATGCAACTTTCAAGATAAGAAAACACATCGGATTAAGACATCAGTGAGCTGAAAAGTGTGTAAAATTGGGGAGCAATTCCTGACCTGCCTGTCATTAAACTCCTAAAACTGCATTGGTTTTGATGTGATTCTAAATGTCTTTTCTCCTGGGTTTCAGTATAATGACACTTTTTTAAACCAAACAATTATGTAAGAGAATGACAAGCTTGCTTAAAGGAAAAAAAATGCACACACTTAAATGCATTTGGAAATAGAAGAAGAAAGAAAATCATACAGTATATAATAATAATTCTTCATCTTTAATATAACAGTACAATCTGGAGAGATGTCAGCCTTACAAAGTTGACCAGATCAGTGAATTCTACTTTATTGTACTATAAGGTTGCACGAACAATCTTGCAAGCCACAAAAATTCTTCTCTCCAACCAATCTTTACAGTTCCCAAACTAGAGAGTCTCTTGTGCTGTTCACCTGGGCTGCCTTTTACCTGGCTGTTCTCTAGGTTTCATCTTATCACCTGATCTCCCAAGGTTATTCCATGTACCATTATGTCTCTTCCTATGGTCTAAGCCAGTGGTGGGATTCAAATTTTTTTACTACCAGTTCTGTGGGAGTGGCTTGGTGGGCATGGCTTGGTGGGCGTGGCAGAGGAAGGATAGTGTAAAATCTCCATTCCCGCCCCACACATAGAATAGAACAACAAAACAGAACAGAACAGAACAACAGAACAGAACAGAACAGAACAGAACAGAACAGAATAGAATAGAATAGAATAGAATAAAATAGAATAGAATAGAATAAGTTGGAAGGGACATTGGAGATCTTCTAGTCCAACAACCTGCTTAGGCAGGAAACCGTACACCACTTCAGACAAATGGTTGTCCAATCTCTTCTTAAAAACTTCCAGTGTTGGAGCATTCACAACTTCTGGAGGCAATTTGTTCCACTGATTAATTGTTCTGTCAGGAAATCTCTCCTTAGTTCTAAGTTGCTTCTCTCCTTGATTAGTTTCCACCCATTGTTTTTTGTCCTGCTTTGGAAAATGGCTTGACTCCCTCTTCTTTGTGGCAGACCCTGAGATATTGGAACACTGCTATCATGTTACCCAGGGGTGGGATTCAAATTTTTAACAACCGTTTCTGTGGGCATGGCTTAGGTGATGGGCGTGGGTTGGTGGTCATGTGACTGGCTGGGTGTGACCAACTCAACATCACTCACATCGAGGCACGCATCTCCTCGCCTGGCGTCTCATGACTGTGGGGATGCTGCAACAGTCGTAAGTGTGAAAAATGGTCATAAGTCACTTTTTTCAGTGTCATTGTAACTTTGAATGGTCACTCCACACAAGCAAAGTACCAGCAAAGGAGGGGGAAAAATCTCCAGAGACATTCCTGAGACAGGAAGTCTAGTCCTGTCAAGAATGTAATAAGGATCAACGGAGAGGCAATTTCTGTAAGCAACACCAGAATGTTTCCTTCCTGCCTTCCTTACAGGATTAGGCCAATAATTTATTCTAACAACCGGTTCTCCAAACTGCTTAGAATGTTAACAACCGGTTCTAACGAATAGGTGTGAACTGGTAGAATCCCACCCCTGATGTTACCCCTAGTCCTTCTTTTCATCAGACTAGACATACCCAGTTCCTGCAACTGTTCTTCAAATGTTTTAGCCTCCAGTCCCCTAATCATCTTTGCTCTTCTCTGCAAAATCCCCATTCCCTCCCCCACCACACACACTAACCTACTTTCTAGCTCCATTCTCCCGTGCAGGGCAACAAAAGAAGACCCAGCCGATCAGCTGGGACTCGGGAAGCAGAGAATAGATGGGGGCGGGGCCAGTCAGAGGTTGTATTTGCCAGCTCTCTGAACTACTCAAAATTTCCGCTACCGGTTCTCCAGAACTGGTCAGAACCTAATGAATAACACCTCTCGTCTAAGCGCTGCTGATTTAAATTCAGTAAGGGATAATGTGCTGCTGAGACTTGGGAAATCATTCATGGAGGTCAGTGACATCATCCAGTTTAAGGGACCATTTCTTAGCTTGGAAAATGAATCGATAATTTGTAAGGGAAACTATTGGGATAGTATAGGCTACATTGTTTAACAACAACCACTACCCTCTCCACGCTTATCTAGTTTGATTGCAAAAACTAGAGTTCAAAACATGATCAGGTGCCCATTAAGGCATCCACTTATGTCACCTCAGGGTTCCTTTCTCCACATGACTAGAGAAGAAGTTGGGAATCTTAGTATCAAGTACATTTCAAGTAAACTCCTTGAATTATTGTCTCTGTTTCATCACAATTTGATGATGAATTGTGAATTTCTTAATATATATACATTGTGTTGGATTTGGATCTCTGGGTTTCAACCCTTGCTAAATTGCAAAGATGGGAAAATCGAAAGTGGCAAAACTCATGACAGGTGTAAGCAAAGATATGGGAAATAAATATAATCCCTAAATTAATTCTGAAATGAATGCTGAAAGTTGAGTTATTTTGAAGAAAGCACTGGAATAAATTCACGAATACACCATACACACAGAGTAGTTACATGCATATTCTTATTCTTAAAAAGAGAAATACAAAGACAAAAATGATAATTTAGGATTGCAAAGAAAGTAAATTTAAAGGTCAATAGGGCTTCTACACATAGGACAAACTTCATCCTCAGTAATTTCAAAGAAATGTAGATCACCAAGTGCTTCATGATCTCATAATTTGTAACAATACTCCATGTGTATCTAATGTGAAGTACTTCCTCCTGTGTTGTCCCTTAGAACTATACTGTTATTATTGGCACTTGTTTCAATCAGCACGAAATGTCAGCAGTAAGCCAGCAAGGGCTCTGGCCAATGGGTGTAACTAGCATGTGGTTACTAAGAGAAGAGCAGTTAGGATGTGGCAAACTTTCAAAGTTTCCATTGCAAAATATTTGTTAATTTTTTTATATATATCTTAAAATACTTCTAAACTGGGTTTTTCTCGTGCAAGCTGCTTCATTTATTTGAAATTGGGTACGATTATTAATTAATTATTATAATCATTAATGGGGTTTTTATCCTGATTTTTGGCTATGTTTATTGTGTATGAATTGGGCTAAAATTTAATTTGAAGATCTTCTTAGAAACTTTTGTGAATATTTCACTGTTCACAAGTTATATATTTCTTTATTGCCAAAAGGCAAAAAAAGAAGTTTTTGCTTTTATTTTTATATTAAACTAATTATAATGCTTTTATATTAAATTAATTAAACTAAACCAATTGCACCACGTAAATAACTATGCTTAGTAAGTCTCTTATTTCAGAAACAAGGCCAGCATTACTTACATTTCTTTAAGAAATCCTGGATATTGGAAAGAAATCATTAGAATTAAGAGCAGAGTATCATGTCACTTGTCTTACATGATTTATTCATCCCTAGTTTCACCTAAGACTTCAGCGTCACTCCATTTTAAGTGTATTTTATAAATACATTTACTTTATATTTTACTAAACACTAATCAAATTTTGCAGACTGCTGTAAGTGTAATGTATTATGTATAAGAGCACAATTGTGCTTTTTTTAAAAAAAAATCACTCTGGATAAATATGAGGTTTCTAACACTGGTAACTTTAATGTCTGAGATGTCAGTTTATCTCAGCTGTAAAGGTGCTATTTCTTTTAAAATCCTTTCAAATGTTTGGAAAGTGATATCATTGACTCTTCTTTTTTTTCCCCTTATTGCATAATTCATTTTACAACAGAATATTTATTGTTTCCTGAATAAAAGAGACAAAAGTACAACAAATATTCAGTTATTTTCTATTTTGAAATACTTATATTTAATGAGACTTATTTTCAGTTAAAAGTATAGCCTAACCCTAGGCAATTCCATTTGGATGAAAGACACACCATAATTCAGCTGGTCATAATCTGAAGTATGCATGCATAGGACCATGCATATTTTCTTAGAAAATCAAGTTCAAAGATGCTTAACCTGAGCATTGCAAAATTGCAGGGGTAAGATATTAGAGCTTTATTCAAAAGGCACATAACAAGAACCATTTGCACTTATTTTTTTTATTTTAGAAAAGCATTTTACACATGAAAAGTATTAGCAACCCCTCTTCCCATTTTCTTTATGTATATCTGTTTATTGTCGTTCCATGCTATTGCATTCTCTAAGCTCACAGTCTTTTATAAATGAACATTTTGCCCTTCCTATATTGTGAAGGTTGAAAGCTGTGATTATTACTTTTTAAATGTCAAGTTTCATTCACACACTATCTGTATAATACATTGGATTTTGAACTAAGCTGGTGCTACATTGCAGGAACAGCCATTCAGGAATCTGCCTTTTTAAATATAAGATTAAGTAGCTTTTAAGCCGTATCGGAATACAAGTTAGGGATTTTGACTATGGTTCATGGTTTGAAGAAAAATCAATAACAACTGTCCTTCACAAATCCTGAAAGGCACACAAGAGAAGAAGAAATTGATGGCTTTAAACTTCCTCTCATAACAACATTCCCAATTCTCCTGGTTTTAGCAGCCCTGAGGTTGCAAAGATGCTTTTGGAGCAGGGGTGGGATTCAAATTTTTAACAACCGGTTCTGTGGGCGTGGCTTAGGTGGTGGGCATGGCTTGGTGGTCATGTGACTGGCTGGACATGGCTTGGTGATCATGTTATAGGCTGGGTGTGGCCAACTCAATACCACTCACATCAAGGCACGCATCTCCTCGCCTGGCCTCTCGTGATTGTGGGGATGCTGCAACAGTCATAAGTGTGAAAAATGGTAATAAGTCACTTTTTTCAGTGCCATTGTAACTTTGAATGGTCACTCCACACAAGCAAAGTACCAGCAAAGGAGGGGGGGGGACTCTAGAAAAGTTCCTGAGACAGGAAGTCTAGTCCTGCCAAGAATGTAATAAGGGTCAACAGAGAGGCAGTTTCTGTAAGCAACACCAGAATGTTTCCTTCCTGCCTTCCTTACAGGATTAGGCCAGTGATTTCTTCTAACAACCAGTTCTCCGAACTGCTTAGAATGTTAACAACCAGTTCTAGCGAATAGGTGCGAACAGGTAGAATCACACCCCTGTTTTGGAGCTTCTATGTGTCCCTATGTGTTTAGTACCTCTTCCTCCCCTCTTTCCAACCCATCATTATATGCATTCACCAGAGCTGAAAAGATTGTTCACCCATGGCTTCCCCTATTGTGAGCTATGGGAACATCTTTAATGAAAACACAGATTTCATTCTGAGACAAGCATAGGAAACACATTTGCTGGGTATCTGATATTGTTAGATAGTCGGTGCAATTGGCCCTGTAATGATGTAAAGAAGTAAGTGAGGACAATGCTTCTTGACCTATCTGTATTGCTCATAATAAAAAATAAGTGTCAGGGTTCCAGAAAAACCCAACTCCAATTAAAAACCGAGACAGGCATTTTCTCAAAGTTTCCTTTTATTAGAGTAGTTATACTGGCACATCTGGGAAAACCTGAATCTGAAAGTTCTGGGTTTTCCTCCAATAAGTAAAAAAATTACAAATCCACCCCCTGCACCCCTCATTCCATCACATGCCCCAATCACCATCCGTTCCAACTTGAGACATCCCCTCTACTACTCCTCATCCAGGTGCAGGAATAACATGACCTTGACTTTAAAGAAGAATGCTATTATGTCTAACCACATACGCTCCATGAAATCCCCCCTCCCATGGTCAAGAATGTGGCAGCATGGAAGCTTCTGGTGCTAATATCACTTGCAAAGCTGACAATAAGATCCAACTGACAATTTAGGTTAATGAGTATTCAAATTACTCTATACACACACACACACATACACACACATATACATTCAAAACACTAGAGTGCTGTTCAATTTTTTTTAATAAGAATGGGACATCCTGAGCTCCCAGAGACCAATACTACAGTAATCGTTGAAAATCAGTGACAATGTTTCCCAACATTTTGCAAAACAAAATACATAAAAACTCCAGTATAAACCTTTTGATCTTTTAAATGTTGAGGTTTTTTTTTTAAGTTTCTTAAAACTAGACATATCTGTCATGAAGCTCCTCTTCCCTGATATTTTCCAAAATCTACTATCCATACATCTTTAAATTGAGCTGATTTTATATGTTCATCTATTTGCAAAAAGATTCTTACAAATTTCTTTGAGTAAAAGGAGTTGTTTTGAATGAACTGAAGCCCAGACGCATGAGATAATAACATGAATAATTGGAAAGTGTTTTATGTTAAGTAAGTGCTTTAACTAACTATTTGCTGATTTTTAGTTTCTATGGTCACCAGCTGAGTATGTTTGGAAGATTGTAGATATAATAGCTATGAATTTATATCCTATTCTGTAGTATTTAGCATGCTCTAGTATTTAATGTTTTTACAGAATATCACTAATGTTTCTTTAACAGCGATATGTGGCTGATTTTATATTGCATACACCATAAAAGGCAACAAAGTCCAAACTACTGTGTGAGCTAAACATTGAGATGAATATATTTGGTTGATTTAATTTATTTGTTTTCAGTTATGCTTGCTTCTGTATTCCATATGTACATATGTACAGATGTAAGATCTGTATCAATTCCAATCTGAATCATTTCGAATGTTGTCATCTTATGGTGGTAAGTTGTGTGTGCCTGCTTAGGAAAGGGAAGAAAATCAGAAACCTGTTGAAATTCAACACTTACATCTTAAATATTTGAGGGGCTCCCACAGAGAGAAGGAGGTCAAGCTATTTTCCAAAACACCAGACAAGGAATAATGAATGGAAACTGGACAAGGAGAAATTCAACTTGGAAATAAGGAGAAATTTTCTGACAGTGACAGCAAACCACAAAGGAATAGCTTGCCTTCAGAAGTTGTGGGAGCTTCATCACTGGAAATTTTCAAGAAGAAACTGGACTGCCATTTGTCAGAAATGGTGCTGGGCCTTGCTTGGGTGGGGGATTGGACTAGATGACCTACGAAGTCCCTTCCAACTCTGTTAACCTGTTAAAATAAATGTTTACCTAATAAAGACCAAAGAAACATTTTATCAGTTTTCCTTGATTTAGTTTACATTTTCCCTTTCTTGTAAGTTCTGTTGGAATTGCAGTTCCCAAAATTTCCAACCAGAATGAAAGTCAGTTTTATTCAGCAAAGCTTAAGCTGTGGAATAAACATATAAATAAATAAGCAAAAAATATCCCTTTGAAATAAACGGTTTAGAACAGACTTATTGAAATTAGCAATACATATTAAGCAGGCCTAACATATGTCCTACTGATTTCAATAGATCTACTACTCTTAAGTTCAAGAGTATATTCTCATCAAATACCTTTTTTATGAAGACTTTTTCATGGTGCTGTATATTATTGTGCTGTGCCTTTTACATGAAGGTATAAGTATTTCTATATGTGTGAGATTAAAAACAGAAATGCGATGAATAACGGATGTGGATTTCTATTATTGTTTTATTTTGATAGATTTACATGTTTTTTTTCTATTTCTCTACATTATGTAATGGGGTATATGTATCCCTGAAAATAAGTGCAGAGTGTACAGCATTATTTTTCCTTTCTCATGAGAAAAATTACTTTCATGAAATATATGAGTTGGGTTTGATCCAGAAAATACAAAGCTGATGTGGAATAGTTTATAAACCTTGGAATGGTAACTGAGTCTAAATGTTAGCTGTTAGTTTAAAATATTATCTTAACAAATTCCAAATTTTGATTAAATCAAGTACAAATGCCTTTTTATAATTATGCTCCTTTAGGAATATCATTTATTTTTATAGGGTTTTTAATTTATTTATTTCAATTAATAATTATGAATTAGACCAGCTTTCTCTTCTCAAAAATCTGAGAATGTTTGAGTCATTTAAAAGGAGACTTGAACACATAATAAAAATGATTCAAGAGCTATGAATTGATCTCTGTAACATTTAACCACTGTTAACCACTGTTATGTTACTTAATCACTTCAAGATATTTTTCGGGGACCAGCAATTGAAATGAACTGATAAACAAAAACTTGAAATGGTGCTATCAATTCTTTAAGAAAAGTATAGCTTTTCTAAAAAATTTAGCAGGATAGAAAAATGTGGTACTTTTCTTTACCTCAAAGCTAAAACTATGGCCTAAGATGTAGAATTGATTCTCATTTTACCATTGAAGAAATAAAATAGTTGGAGTAAATATATTATTAAGATACTATTCAGAAAATATAAATTGTGAAAAAAAGAAAGAATATTACACTCTTGTTCCACTTCAAAGAAAGAATTATTGGTAATAACTTTTCTTGATCCTTTATATTGTTATAACGTGGCAGCATTTCTTGAAACATTTTGAGTTAGTGTTAAATATTTTAATATGTAAAAATATCATATGTGTAATTCTTATATTCAAGACTCAAGATTTAAAAAATATCTCTTAGCTTAAATCTTTTTATTATAAGCCAGGATATATTAAGCATTTCTACCATATACATTTGCAAGTAATTTATTTATATGAAATTATAATCTATCTGAATACTTGAATAATGTTTCTGTTCTCTGTCTCATTTAAACAGTGATTAAAATTGCATCACTTGACAGCTATAGCTATAGCATATGTAAATAAAGCTGACATATGCAGAAGTCAGAAAGATGCAGCCAAGTTCAAATTTCCTATAACGCATGACCTTGGAAATAGAAATACAACACAACGAACATTGACTCTTCTGAGTGAAAGTTACATTACCACTGTGGAGAGTTAGAATTGTGAGGTTTTGTTATATAACACAACTGTGAAGCCACAATTTATATATAGCATATATAGCAAAGCTGCCAGTCAGATAGAAAAATGGGCAACTCCAAAATGAGAAACATAACACTATTAAGTGGCTGGATTGAGATGTGCAGTTCAATATGTACTTACTCAAAAGGGAGGCCAGCAGAATTCAGTGGACCTTCTTTCAAGGAAGGAAGGAAGGAAGGAAGGAAGGAAGGAAGGAAGGAAGGAAGGAAGGAAGGAAGGAAGGAAGGAAGGAAGGAAGGAAGGAAGGAAGGAAGGAAGGAAGGAAGGAAGGAAGGAATCTATATACTATTTTGGAATTTGCAGTAGTCCCTTTCCGGGTATTAACCAGGAGAAGTTTTATTTACTTTCCAGAATCAGATCAGTTGGGGACAACTTTTTATTTAAAAAATAATAATGTAGTTACTCTAGATCAAATCCTCTTTAAGAAGCAGCATGGTTTGAGATCCTTTGCAGTTTTAGAAATTTAAATATATCCACAGAGTCAGGTCTTCAGGTCCTCATGAAAGGTCAGAAGGATGGGTGCAGATCTCATTTCAGGAGGCACGATGTTCGATGTTCGAAAGGGCATAAGCAGATCTTCTGGACACTGTCAGCTGAAAATTCTTGATTGATGGGGTCAGCAGCATGCTCTCTCCACTGCATGGGTGGGATGGTTCTTCAGACAACCTGAATGGTTCTTCAGGCAACCTGAATGGTTCTTCAGACAACCTGGACCAATGCCATGAAAAACTTTAAAAGTGACAGCCAACATCTTGAATTGCCCCCAGAAGCAAACTGGCAGCCAATGCACCTTTAGGATGAGCAGTTTAACAAAGTCCACCCTAAGGCAACAGCCAATGCTATCACATTCTCCACTAATTGTAGCTTCCAAATACTCTTCAAGGGTAGTCCTATGTAGAGCGCATTGCAATAGTCCAGGAGTGATATGACTAGGGATTGAATGACTAAATACAGGGACCCTCTATCCAAGAAAGGATGCAACTGACATACAAGCTGGCGTTGTGCGAAGGTTTTCCTAGCTGGACTGCCACTTGCTCTTTGAGTTGCAAGTCCAGGAGAACTCCATGTCTGTGCAACCCGATTAAAAACTAAAGGTGTTAAACTCCCAAATCAAATCAAAGTCATTCAGTATTGCCAAGGTTCAGTCAAAGCATGCTGTCCCCCATCCAAATCCCACAGAACTAACTGGTCCCAGATAATTGAGTAAGACTTTTCCCAAGGCATCTCATATGAACCAGCGCCATGCACAGGTTCCAATTAGGAATTTATACAAGCATCTTTGTCAGGTGTTGAACAAATTTCTCTATGTGATCCTGAAGATGACATCAGAGTACCCCTGTCTCAGGTGGGACAGGATGATCCGGGCAATGTTGCAGATGCAACAAAGGCAGAGAAATAATGATGTTTCATTTGTCTCACTGCCATGAGATAGGTCTTAATGGCAGCTCTAAATTGATCTGTCCTCGCTACACATTAGTCTGTGTGCAGCTCGACATGCAGCTAAACCTACCTATCCTCCAATAAAACAGACTGTGCGCATAGACCTGAATGCTTTATTAAAAGGACAGGATATGATGAAACTGGGGAAAATAGGAATACATATAATGAGAACCAAATACAAGATGGGCTTGTATTGAGTTACTGCTGAACTTAACAATTAATAAATACAAGAAATTGAAATCTCACCAGTGATGCTCTGTGTGTGGGATGTGGGTTTGTCCTTGGATAACCATGTGCCACTGATTAAGATGGGTTCTCCTTTGTGCTTCTGTCTTCTCCAAATGCTAAAGGAAACAGAGTCTGGCTTCCCAGCGTGCACTTGTTTTAGAGTGTGGGCTGATGGGTAATGGGATGGGGGTCAGTGTCAAACAATATCCTTGGTATTTGTCTCCCAGGCCACTAGATGGGGCTAGTGAGCAACAACAGTATATAAAGGTTATATGCTGGGGCATGACATAAGTTATGTCCGATCTGAGGCATCTCTCATCTTCCTCCAGCAGTAGTACTCTAGGCATTTCTTAATCCTTTCCAAAACCCACAGCTCCTCCATAAACCACAGGAAAGGATAGGCATGAAAGATCAAGAGACCAAGCAAAAACTGTTCAAAGCCACAGCTGCCCTTTGATTCTAGGATGATACCAGAGCTTATATCCTTGACTTTACCTTTTATGTTCAATTCTTATCTCCCCCCAATAGAGTAAAATTGTAACATATTGCTTCAAAATCTTTTTTAATTAGAAATATTTATTTTCTCTTGCTTACTGTCTTAGGTATCAATCTATTTTTATTTTTTTTTGGCTTGGGGTTTTGGAAAAGATTATTCCTGTAATGTAAATTAATGCCATATCTTCTTTGTTTTTTCTCATTGTTAGATATTATATTATCATTAGATAATATAACTACGTCTTTGATAATATCCTAAATTCAATTATTTTTATTTTATTCTTTTATTCTACTCAAGCCCTTTTAGAAAATCTGAATAACCTCCTCTGCAATAAAATCTTATTTGGTATTTTTGTTTAAATGAAGAGTTTATGTTAGGTCAAATTTATAATTGTCAACATGTTTCCATTCAGCCTGAAGAAAGATCTAGGAAGATGTTGTTTTCATGATAACGGAGACTGAAGTACAAGAACCATGGTAAGAAAATAAAAGGAAGTGCTCTAATTCAAAACACCGCCAGTAGGAAATTATTTCTTCCTCTTTGTTTGAAACTAATGACTTTTGGGGAATTTGTATGGAAGCTAATCAAATTTTATATCTCTATCCAAAGTTGATGGACCTGGACAATGGATCTGTTATCATTCTGTTTGTCCTTTATTATTTTGTAATTTTTCAGTTCTTTAGTTTTGCTTCAGGGTCCTACATAACGGCTGTACTTTAGTAAAAAGTGGCATTCGTCTGTCAGATGCATATTGCATTTTATCAGGCTGAGAATTTAATATTTCATATTTTGATCAGCAGACATTTTGGAAAACTGATAAATCTTTGTATAATCTTAATATAAAAGTCCAAGGGACTCCCATATTTCTATGGGGCAACCTACATTTATTTTCCACATGGACGTACATGGTAGTGTAGTTTCTGTGTCTGACCTGTTGCAAGCAATTTTATACCGAACCAAGAGAACTATTCATAGCAATAGGAAATACCAATAATCTTTGTCTGTAAACTGGGAATTCAAGACATGTTTAATTTTTTCCCAATGTGATAAAAGTTCAATTAACTTCCCATGTTTGATTAAACTGCTACAAAAGAAAAAGAAGAGATAACAGAAAGAGAAAATTAAAAAGAACTTCTGTGCCATATTATTTAATCCTATTGGAAATAATATATTTTAAAAGAAAATTAAACTCAGAAGTCACAGCTCTAATATAAAAGCATTTATTCTTTGTAGAAAATTATGGAAGCTGATTACAGTTAGTTAGCTGTTGCTGATCAACATATACATCTGATATGTTCAAACTATCCTTTATTGTGGCTGCATATTTGGAATGAACATACCAGAATGAAAAAAGGTTGAACCTTTAATGAGAATTGGCTTACAATAAGCTGTGTATGTCTATTTCAGTTGGAACATAATCAACAGGAAGGGTATGAGGCAGTTTGTTCATCCTAAGAAATGTTCAATCAAACATAGAAAGGTTACAGAAAGACCTAACAAAAGCTCTTAATTATTTCCATTTCCAAATTTGCAAAATTGCGGCAAAGAAAGCCCCTCACTCATAATATACCTAAGCAGAGACTTGGAACTTTGAACACAAAGCTCCTGTCAAATTTAATAACAAGTGAATGTCAAAAGGAGGTTGGTGGGAGAAAAAAGTATTAAATAAAATCAGGTTTCTATTCATGGTCAGTGAAAATGATTAAACCTACCTTCAGTATTTGTCCCAAATGATCAAGGTTGGGAACAGAAAACATGGAATTGGCTCATATGGAGAGAGGTAAGCTACAGGGCCAACTTATTCCAAATGTGTCATTGGTATGCATTTTTGTTTAAGCATTATGTCCAAAAAGAGCATTTGGCTACTTAGCTTTATGAAAAAAAAGATCTCTTTAATTCTCTGTCCTTCTTTCTCTTGTTAAGCTATTTGAAAGGCATATTTCTTTTGCCAGTTTTAAACAAATCTTTACCCTCAATGTACTTCACGAATTCAAAATTCTTTAAAATTAATGTAGCTCTCTGTCAGAAGTACCCAGAATTTTTCCCCTATATGTTATTACCTAGTCATGTTCATGACCTAAAACTGGCAGGCAACAATGTATACTGTAGAATCATGACTTAGTTCTACTCAACTGATGCTTGGAAAATAATGTCTACAGTCCATGTGGCTAAAAATCCAATATTTTAAGACAGTTCAGCAGTACAAATTTGGCAGTCAAAAGGAGCAACCATTAAAATTGAAATCAAGTTGGATCTAAGAATCATAGATGTTTGGATGGTTATAATGCAATTTTAAAAAGTCTATAAAAATTTATTCAGAATTAATTGCTCTCAATCCTCTTTTAGGATGATTACACAAAAAGCAATTTCAATGAACTTTTTATTAAGTTTTAACAAGAAAGAATATTAACCCTGGAAATTATTTATGAAGTGAAAATCAAACAATGCTTAACCCCTAAATATATTTACAGAATTATTCTATTACGAAAAAGCCATCATGAGCTTCCCCAGGCTTCAGGTCATGATCTTAAGTAAATAATATCTCTTATTTATCTTAGTCAGTGTTCTGAATTTATAGAAAGCTAAACATTTATGTAATTAGCATGAACAAAAAAAATTATTAGAATCCACTTTAAAATGGAAATCAAAGCAAAACATCCAAAGTGTTTGGACTGCTGATATTATATGAGAATTTTCAAGATATCAGAAAGCACAGATTGGTAAAACAAATATGTCTAATAGTATCTCTATTACATAGAGATTCATTTAAATATATTTTTCTTACTGAAAGGGTGGCTCCAAATGCATTTTTGTGACTTTATAGTATGAGATAAAATAACAAAGTTGAATATTTTTTTAAAAAGTTCCATTGCCACTCTGAGTGTTAAAAAATTTTCTTCAAAAAAATAATAATAATAAGACAAGAGAAGGTTCTGGAATAGTAGAGAAAGCACCAACTGCAAGCAATTTGGTGTAGTAGTTAGAATGGGGTTGTCAAACTCATGTTGTCATGGCGGCATCACGTGACATATTGGGCCTGGGCATGGCTAGCGCGTGATGCATCTGGCCCACGGCCCAGGAGTTTGACAGCCCTGAGTTAGAATAACCTGGCCCAGTCCAGATGAAGTTGAGATTTGAGAACTTGAGCTCCTAAACTTCTTAGAGTTGAAATCCACCCATTCCGATGGTAAGAAACAGTAGTTGGGATTTTGAGTAAGGATTTGAGTGACCCAGGTTCAGTTTCCTCCTAACTCATGTAGCTAAAGAGCTCTTGATCTCTTGTTACTATTATGCATTCTAATCTATGCATTCTAATAAAAATAGAAAGCTATTAATCACCTGGAGATATTGGTGCAAGGGGAAATATAAATGTTGACATTTGATAAATAGTAAAACCAATAATTTAATTACAATTGCTCATAAAGGAAGAAATTAAGGTGATAATTTCAATCATGTTTATTTAACATTTAACATAAACAACAAAGGATTGTGGGAAGCAACATAATAACACCAAAAAGAAAATTTAACATCAAAACAAAACGGAAAACATCTCTCAGTAAAAATGAACTGCAGCAGCAGAGGCTATTTCAGTAATTTGTGACTGTAGCAGATAAACTGACTCAACAGAAGCTACTCAACAATGAACAACAAATGAAACTCAGAGTATACTGAGTTTCATTTGTTAATCCAGGTGATTAATAGCTTTCCATTTTAATCTCAGATAGATTAATCTCTGTTGAAACTTGGAGGAGATGGTGGGGGGAAGCTGTCAAGACCCTTGGTAGAATGTCAAGACCCTTGGTAGTTATACACTCACACTGTGGCTTCATTCTAACTCTGCAATAAAACTTCTTATCTACCCCCAGAGGTTTGGGCTGTTAAGGCATGTAGAGTTTGGGTCTAGGGCTGTGATGGCGAACCTATGGCCGGAAGTGGCACGCAAAGCCACTTCTGCCAGCACATGAGAGGTCGCCCGGAAAAGCCCCACTGCGCATACACATGCGCCACCTGCCCTCCAGCTGATTGTCGGGTATCTGGTGCACATGCGTGGGGTGCAGGGGTGCACAGGAAATGCACGCACATGCACAGAGATGCACGGTGTACATGGGGATCACGCATGCATGTGTGCCAGCACAATGCGCATGTCCCTCTATATCCCCTGCGCATGGGGCATGGGGGGGCATGCATATTGCCTTCTGGGTGCTGGCACGCGAGTGCGCATGCAATTTTTCGGCACGGGAACCCAAAAAGGTTAGCCACCCCTAGACCAGTCAAATCCCATCTGGAAGCAATGATTATCAATAATAATCCATTCCTATTATATCTACAGCATATACTGGCGGAGAACCCTACCACGTTTCTCTTAACTCCCTAGAAATTCCATCCTAAAGTGGCATATACTGGAGGGGGAAATAGCAAGTTTGTAAATGTAGAATTTTTGCAGAACGCAGAGTTTGTAGAAAATGTAAGTTTATAGGGCACAAAAAAAGAGAGAGACTTTCTTGACCAATCAGGTTGTGGGTGGCCAGCTCTACAAACACTTAACTGCCTCATTTGGAGTGAGCTGTGTGCTTACAGACTTTGGCCTGAATAATTGGATGACTGACTCGATCTACTCACCGGCTCAGATTGCATGTTATCAGTAAAAGGTTTTCTGCTGTGTTTGTTTCCTTTCATTGTGTCCCAGAGCTGACCTGTTTCCTGTCCATGTCCTTTAAGCAGCAAATACACAGAGAAGATCAGAGTTAGTCTTCATGCTGCTTAATCTTCACTTATGAGCTGAAAAGATAAAGCTCTTAGTAGTACTAGTAGTAGTATAGCAGTAGTGATTACAGAAATAAGAATGACAAAGGCCTATTATTTCCCTTTCTGTGAACAATTTTTCTAAACTTGCTTGAAGAACTTTGATTCACTCTCGTTTGTAATTGCTACTGAATATTGTTTTTACAATAGGCGATTAAGATTTCATATCAAAAACTATGAGCAGAATAATATTGAGATAGACGCAAGGGTGGTATATATTGACAGGGAGGAAAAGTCTTTCCAATTTTTCTCTTAACTCAAGCCATACGGTCACATTTTTAATTTTAATGGCAACATCTCACCGGTAGGTCTTGCCAAGATGTCTGCAGCAGCACGGATTATTTTCCAAAATGCTACACTTCATCACTGATGACACTGTTTTCCTGTTTTATGTATAAAATTAATTAAAACAGCCTGCTTAAAGACCTTTATGGCTAAAGAGAGAAACAACAAGCTCTTTCAAGGTATTCATAAAACTCAGGATTTGAATGACTATTGATCATTTCAAACAGCATTCGGTATCCTTTTGCAAATGTCACACTCCAAGTTCATATGTAATCATGTGAAGTACTCAGATTGAAAAATAAAGAAATATCTGCATCTATTCCTCTTCTGTTATGATCATTAGTTGTTCTACCAGTGTTAGTAGAATGGATCACAAAGGTACAGTCAGT